ATCAAATTATTTATGATTAAAATATAAGTTGTATCACACTGTACTTTTCAATACAAGTATCCAATTTATATTATCACAAGTGATCATAGGCACTTTAATTCCCATGCTCAATAATAAATAAATACAATTACAATATATTTATTATAAATTATTATTTTTTCATAGCAAAATATACTATGTAGGAACATAACCTAGCTCTTTGGCTTTCTCACTTCTCGTGCACTACAACTTCTCCTGCAGCACGCGAAGCAATGAGTGCACAAATAGCAACGATGGGCACTGCTTTTATAAGCACTAGTGAGCGTCCCTTCTTCTTGTGGTGTGTGGTGTTGCTTTTTGGTGGTTTTGATTTTGTGCATCGCCACTTTTTTAAGCAGTGGTAAGTGTCGCTCTTCTCGGTAGCGAGCATCTTTGTTTCTAATGGTTGTGGATTTGTGTGACAGAAAAGGGTGTGAATATGTGGTGGTGCGGTGGTGATCTATGTGTAAGGTGTTATTTGTGTGATGTGGTGTGTGCGGACCCGTGCGACGATGTTGGTATTGGTGTGGTGGTGTTTGTGGTATGTTGGTGGTTTGATTGTGTGTTGGTTGTGGTGGTGGCGGGTTGGTTGTTGTTGTTGTTGGTGGTGTTGATTAGGTGGCGCAGCATTTGGGTTTAGGGTGTCGGTGGAGTGTGGTGGGGGGAAGAGCAATTGTGACTAATTATTTGTATGACTAACTATTAGGATGCGTAATTTGTGATCAATAAATAATATGTTAATAATAAAATGGATAATCTTTTACCAAGAAATAATATGTAGCCTAAAAAAAGTGTGATTGTTACTAAGTTTGTAATTATGCCCACAATTTGTGTCTTTGTGACTAACTCTACCTGATGCGATTTGTGATTGTGGCCATAATTATATATTATTGTGACATTGACCTGTTATCAGGTTGTCATAAATGATTTTGGGAAGATTTTATAAGTTTCTCATTTCTGAAAGTGTATCTTGAAATCTTTATATTCATGTATCTTTCCCAAATTACGTGTCAATTTATATGTAAAGTACACAAAATTTGACCTAATTTGCTTCCAATGTCGAAGTTGTGTCACAACGTGCAAATTTCCTTTGCAATAGCCTCACGAATTTATTAACAAATCAATATATATATTTTTTAGCATAAAATAATTCACCAACTTATCTTTAATTTTTCTTTTCCTTTTATAAATTGATACCCCTATTTTCCCAATTCTTATCTTGAATCTATTCAATAATTGTAGAAGGTCCCACTTCCTCTTTCAATTCATCCAAGTCTTGAAGATTTTGTTGCATTTTTGCTCTCAAAAAATTGGGGTGTTTGATGTATGATATGCGGTTGAATCCCGTAAACATACGCGTTCATTGATAAGTTATAGTTAAATTGAGTATTGTTACAATAAAAATTTAGAATCTAGCTTAAGTTTGATCAATTTGAGGTTAAAGATGAGTAAACACATATTTATAATTGATCTAAATGTTATGTTTCTAACTAAATAATCTACTTGGTACTATTCTGAATGCAAATGAAGATTGAACAAAAAGAGATTTATGTGGAAAAACGTGCTAGAAATCTAAATCTACTATAGGTATCCGCCATAATTCTCAACTTCTACCACTTTAAGTCAATTTTTGCTCGTATTGACAATCGATAATCCTACATTATCCATTAATTTCTTCCTAGTAGAGTTAAATCTATTTCTACATATGAATTGAAATATCCTATCCCAAATTCGAATATGTAAATAAGCATTCAATCACAAGATTATCTAATTAGATAAAGGACAGACAATTATTTCTAATA